GCCTCGGCTTATATTCGGGTCGGCCTATACTCGAGTATATACGGGTAATTCTATTTTCTATTAAAGCTATTCATTTTGAGAAATGTGGTTGTGTTAAATTCTTGCAGCCAAAATAACAACAGATTTAGTATAGTACATACCTTCTGGGACACTAATTTTTATACTTTTAGGTTTCCCATAATGTCAATTACATTACTTTCATGCAGAACGAACACTGGAATGTCAAATGATAAATGGTTTGAATTACAGTATTTTGGAAAGAAGACAGAAATTGCATGTAGAATTGTATGAGTTCTAAGTCAGAAGATTGTTCTCATTGACAGAAGGAAGTAAAAAAAAGGAGAGCACGCTGGTTTCCAATTTTTAATTCTTTCTTGTAAAATTGAAAATATAAAACCTGCTCAGCAAAGTGAAAACGTTTATGTACATGAGGTCTGTGAATTTTAAAGAAGTCCTTTTATAGTCAAGAAAACATCCCATGAATTAACTGTGATTAAAGGGACCAGCAGTCTTAAATTGAAAACATACTTAAAAAAATCTTTACAAGCATATTTTATAATTTAAATTTATATTTTACTCAAAAGGACTTACACATCAAGCAGTTTTAAATGGTTCGCCTTCTCCCTTAAGAGAATCAGTTTCAAAGTGCCACAACAAAGGAATAGATACCAACAATTACACAGTATATTCCTTTATAAAATAGATTGGTAAATGTGAGCAGTTGATTTAAATGAACACATAAAAGGTTGCAGATTAAATACAGTCAACGTACGTGAACAACAATTCTGTGAATACAAAAAGCATTATAAGTATGGTAGACAAAGTAACAATTTAAGATAAGACTTATGTATCTGTATAGATGGGAGGAATGTGATTTAAACAGTGATCAAAAGTGCCATTTTGGAAAAATCCATTATTCTCTTCAGTTCCATTGATAACTTCTTCTGATATGCACTCTGCTTCAGAAATGGCTTCATAGCCTGGAAATATGGTAAGCATATGAGACATAGTAACTATGAGGTAGCAAGAACAATCTGAATTGCAGATTCAGACTAAATATGATGCTCTACTGTAAGATTCCCCCCCCCCTTGTTTCTGTTTTTAATACAAAAAAGCCTCCTAAGTTGTTTAGCAAGGAAGGGGTAGAAGTTGCTTGACTCTTCTGCTTCTTTCCATCTGTCTACTGCAAATCTCCCTCCTTTCCTTTGGTTATCAGGAAGAAAGACATGGAAAATAAATAAATAAACAGGTGTCCAACAGCTTGGTAGGCTGAAATATTTGCTTCCCAGAATTCCCACTGCCATAACTAATTGTGATAGATGGGAACTTTGAATATTGTACTCCCAAACACACCTGAAGGACGTCAGATGAGGGATGCTGCCTTAGAACTTTAAAACTAATGATTGCTTCAGTCTACACAGAAAACAGTGTTATAGCTTCTAAGAATGAGTAATTGATATTTCCTTCTACAGTGCCATTCAACATGTTCAGTAACCATTCAACTTAAATGTCCACATTTAAGTTGAATGTTTAATGTCCACATTTAAATGACTTTGGTAATAATCATTCGGAACTACTAAGGATTTGTCATACATCAACTAAGACGTCATACTAATAGAAACTAGTGACAGTTCTTACGTTCTGGATTAAGGCATGGAAACAGAAGCTTTCTAAAAGGCAACTGTAGTGACTAGACTTTTGATTTTGTTGTTGTCGTTCTTTAAGTCTCTGAAAAATAAGCAGTAACAGCAAAGCCTTGCTGTTTTAGAAGACTGTCCTTTTTCAGTTTGGATTGTTTATTAGTGAACCGTTGCCTCTGCATTTCACAACTTCATATAGCCCTGCAGCGTTACTTGTAACAATCAAACATTTCAGAAGAACAATGTCTGTTTCTCATTAAATTCCTTCTTTTGAAATATCTAATTATTAAATTTTCCCTTCTTTTATGCCTGTAGAAACCAAACAAATACATACATATATAAATACATACAATACATCCACATTACATTCATGTATACATATATACATGAATATAAGAGCCAAGGTGGCGCAGTGGTTAAATGCAGCACTGCAGGCTACTGCTAGATCAGCAGGTCAGCGGTTCAAATCTCACCGGCTCAGGG